TTTCAGATTTAATAATAATTTGAAGACCTACGTTTAGCCAGTGATGGGTGTTACTCTCTCTCAGTTCATCAGTCCTTCAGCTAAGCTGGACGTCAGGGTGTCTGTCCGTACCGACGCAGTTCATAGAAATCATTGTTTCTCCTACAGTTTTGGTCAGAATTGAGCTATCATGTCACTGAGCTTCCGGTTCTCTTCGGGATTTCAATGATCTGGAAAAAATAGCTTAACAGGCAGTGATTGAAACAGAGCATAGAATTGTTTGCATAGCCTCAAGCAGGAAGAAACAGGCATCAGTCACTACAAAGGCAACTATCTGTACCACCAAAGATGCTCTTTCATCATTTTCTGTTGAAAAAAGTATTGAACCAATGTTCTGCTGACCAATGTGAGCATATGGTCAAGCATGATTTAAATGAGCCATTATAGTGTCCTGTTACTTACTCTGAGCGATACAGGCACTGAACATCTGTATATGCAGATGGATGAAACACACACAGGACAAAGAATACTCATTAGAGCTGGGTTATAATATCACTCCAAGTGTCTGCTGTGGCCCCATATGCTTGGCCAGAAAGAGTCATAAATTGTGACTTTAACTGAGTATGAGTTCACGGCCGCCCTGCTGTTTCAGACTGTGTTTAGCCAGCTACAAGCAGAGTTCAGTATCTGGGTGTGTGTTCAATGATGTGAGTCTTCATAAAGTCATCAAAATATAAACTCATGGTGTAATGTACTTTCAAAACACGCACACACACACATATATATATATATATATATATATATATATATATATATATATATAGAGAGAGAGAGAGAGAGACCAAAAATCAGTTTTTTTTTGGTAGAATACAGATGAACTCTTAAGTAGGAAGTTGTTGTTGTAATGGTCTGGACTTTATTTGTTTTACTTTTTTATTTTTAATTGTGGGGTTGAATTTAACCCTGAATGTGTGCATTTTGACCATCATCCTATTGCTTTATTGAAACAGCAACGAGTGGATGAGTCACCCCTTTAATGGTCTATTTTACTCAAAATGGGACAAAATTATGGAAAATGAACGTCTTGCTTTAATAAAAAAGAGCTGAAACCAGCAATTGAGACATTAAACTCAGTAAGAAAATTTTTACTTTACTAACTTTACTTTATTGATTTATATAGCACTCTTCACAGGATATAAAACAAAAAGTGCTTCACAATAACATAAAACAGTACAATTAAACATACAGCACAAATCTAATTAAAAGCTAGTCTAAATAAGTGAGTCTTAAGATGATGTTTAAAAGAATGAATACAATCCAGGCAACGTAGAGATGGAGGGAGAGAATTCCACCGCTCTAAAAGATCTATCACCTCTGGTTTTAAAACGTGCTCGGGGAACTACCAACAGCCTTTGATTAAATGATCTCAGGCTGCGAGGTTCTAAAAGATCAGAAATATAAGCAGGAGCGTCATGATTCAAAGCTTTAAAAGTCAGTACTAAGATTTTAAAATGAATCCTAAAATGTACTGGAAGCCATGTAATGAGCGTAAAACTGGTGTAATGTGCTCTCTTGACTGACTGGAGGAGGTGAAGATTCTTTTTGCTCAAACAAAGACAAAGACTGTTACAATAATCTAAGCGAGAAGAAATAAAACATGAATAATCATTTCTAACTCAGATTTAGACAAAAAAGTTTGCAGTTTGGAGATGTTTCTTAGCTCAAAAGACGTCTTAGTGGAGCCGTAATTCAAGTGAGAAATGGGATCGTTTACTTATAAACTTCTATCAATTAGATTGCAACCAGAAGAGTCGCCTCCTTCTGGCCATTTGAATGAATGCAGATTTTGACATTGGCTTCACTTTTCAAACCTGGAGGCTTGATCCAGTCTGTTTGCTGTCAAAAGTCAGACTGAAATAAGCCACTCGCGTTGATTCCCGGCTCTGATTTCACTTGCAGCTGTTGAGAGTAGTTTAATTTTTTTTTTATCATCTTAGTTGATTTTGCTACTCAGTGCAAGACAGTAAGTGATTAAAACATGGATCTTATATGACATAAAATCACAATTTCGATCTTTACTGTATATTTATTTTTTAAATGGATACAACTGATCGTATCACAGCTAAAAACAATAAGTCTCTCAGTAAATTACCTTAGAGTATTCTCAACATCCATTCTAAATTTTAATTAAAAGTTTATTGCATGATTCTGCAGGTCTCCCCTTTTAGAAGGACATTTTTAAAAGGTAGCTCCATTCACCAGTACTCCTTAATGTCAGGTCAGTAATGCCAGCCTGTGCACTGAAAGAAGTTTTCTAATGGATTCCTCCTTTCATGCACACAGCGTGATGTCTCTCAGCTTCAAATCGAGGTCGTGTGCATGATTTGAGACGAGCAGTAACAAGAAGCTAAATACTACTGTACATCGATTTCAGCTGCATAGCCCCTTAAGTCAGAATAATGGGCAATACAGTTTTATTGCGCCTCTATTTTCATTTCGTTATTGTGTTCATAGTGTCACTCAGAAAAATGCTAAACCGCCGCTCTGGTTAGGGAAAAAAACACAAAGGTTTGTTAAGGCTAGCAAGGCTTAAAGCTCTAGTTACCTAATCATGGCAACAAGACTTTGCACTCACACAGTTCCAGCTCCATTCAGGTGGATAATTTTAAGTGCCTTTGTGCAGTGTTGAGAATGATTCAGTGGCATTTCAGCTAGCTGAAAAAAGGGAAGTACTAAATTGTTCAGCATTTCCCTCCATATGAACTACAGCACTCTGCAGTCAAAAAATCAAATATCAAAAAGCTGAAAACAGCATCTATATGTAAACGTGATGTATTTAAATTCGAATGAACAGACTAAGGATCGCAGCCATTTCTCTGCTACAGTCGCATGAGAACCATTTAAGGCTCGTTCCTAATGTCGATTAAACGGCATCTTAAAGTGCACGTTTTGGTGTTTTGCTTTTTCCCACTTACCCTAAGCTAAGTGTGTTTGTATTCAACCATCCGCATTCTGTAAGCATTTGGATAACGGCGCTCTTTATAACCATTTGGAGCCATCCGCACAGTGCCATGTTTTACTTTCCCCCCTTAGCATCGGTGCTTCTGGAGGTAATAAAACCACCCTCGACTCAGCATGCTTTACAAAACCCAGAGATGGACTAATCTCTGCAGCATCACACCAGAGAGCTCGCTGTCTGTATCTCCAGAATAAACCTTGACATGTAATTCCCCTCACCTTGGCACCTTGGGGCTCTGTTGGTCCTATCAATAAATAACCCATTTAGCTCAGAGGTCACTTCAAACTTCAGCCTTCCCGACACCTTGTCCTTGCCAGATTTAAAAAAAAAAAAGGGGGGGGGGGGGGGCTGTACTTGATTATTGAGGGAGTTTTTGTAATCTGTCCTTTCTTTTTTTTTTATCTCTTTCCTCTTTTTTTTTTCCTGTCCCCGAGAGAAAGACTGTAGACTAAGCAGGTAGTCAGCATCTGTTTTGGCTCACCTCTATTAGCTTCCTGATTGACTACTGGCACGGGTAACACATTTCCCCGGATTCCCCTCTCGCCCTCCCCTTAATCTCGCATCTATCGCTTCAAATCAAGGCTCAGGTCGCTGTGCCCGTGGGCTGAGGGCATCACTCATTATACTGTGAAGTTTCAATTGCAGCCTGACCCCTTCCATCCAATTTCATGGCTGCTCCTGGTGGGCGAGTGCTCCCGCTGCTCCATTCTGAAACTCTTTAAATGAACCAACCTTTGGCTCAGGGCCGCCACTCATCTCAGCAAGACGAGAGGGAGACGAATTTAGTTCAAATGAATGTCAAGCCTTGTTATTGTAGCTCTTGGTTAATGCGGTTTGGGCACTCAAGAGCCTCGGCTTTCTCTCTTCCCTCTCGTTCTTATTTCGTACATGCTCTCGCACAAATGGTGAGGATTGAAATGCTTCAGTGGGCCGCTAATAAAAAAAACAAACCACCTCTGGCTTTGGAAAATGGAAAGTCTCGACGTAGTCCACTTGGAGCCGTTTGCAGGTCACAGTTTGCCTCTGAGGGGCATTTTTGTGTTTGAAGTTGATGAGTGGCGAAATTTTCAATAACACGCAGTTTTGCTTCATTGGGAAACTGCATCTGTTTCTCTGTAGTGTTTTTCTTTTTTTTTTCTTAATGAAATAACCTTATAAACACATCAACTTCCTGCCACATCTGCAACGCTGAAGCAGACAATCCCTATCAGGCTTCTTAGATTTTCTCTAATGAACCGTGTGTCATATTCCATAATATTCTGTCGCTAGTGGAAATTACATTATTTTCAAGGTGGCTCTTTAATATACACAAACCTGATGATTCTGCTTTCACACTTAAGCGTCTCTGTGATCATCAGACACATTTGTCAGTGTAAAGCAGAACCTTTAGTGTATGATTTTATTTGTAATGTTTCTAGCTAAGTGATGTTTATTTGCCGTGGTTGTTTGTGTGGGATGCCCGTCCCAGTGTGCTTCTGTCAGGTGTCTCGACTCGAGCTTCAGGCCACAGTCCTTAATTGAAAGGAGCATTTGGGTTAAAATAAATGCACCTTTGCTTTGCTCGGCAACTGGCTAATCCTTTGGCATTTTGTTGTGCCTGAGGCTATCTGTTAACTAACAAGATCACACTTTTTAAAATATTTATAAATCTAATGATGAGTTCAGTGGTACCAGAAGTCACAGTTACAAACAAAATATCCAGACTAATGTAAGATGATTCGCTCTTGTGGTATTTGCACAAAACAAGCTGTTTGCCAGGCATCATGTCAGGATATCAAAGATGTTGCCTGAGCCGTCTTCTAGTTAGCGTAGCTTAGCATAAAGAGTGGAAACGGGGCCAACGGCTAACAGGGTCAAGCACACATACAGACTGTATATAAAATGTCATGTATGTCATGTTTCTGAGCTTTGTTTTTATTAGTTAAATGCAGCATTATTTGGGTTTAGTCAGATTAGAGCTATCTCCTCTGTACTTAAGAATCTGTATTTTTTGTGTCCACAGCCAGTGAAAACTGCCATGACTTCCACCCCATGTTCTTCACCCACGATCGCGCTTTTGAAGAATTCTTCTGTATCTGCATCCAGCTGCTCAACAAGACCTGGAAGGAGATGAGAGCCACAAGTGAAGATTTCAACAAGGTATGCTGCGTGCGTGTGTGTGTCTGTTCTTTTTCTTTCTTTCTTTTGAGGGAGCAGGAAGGTTGAGATGAAGACAAAACATCACAGTATTCATGAATATTATTGGGCCTAGGTTTTGGTTTTGTACTGAGCTTTCCACATAGATGTGTCACAGCTGGAAAAAGCAAGTAAGTGTGCTTGTATATTTCATCATTACTGCAAAGTTCATGCACAGCTCTATTTATTCATTAAGCATGGAGACCTCTTTAGTTTATTACCCCTCAGGCACAAAAAGGCTGATGGGGGATTGTTGACTAAGTTTGTGAATACAATTAGTCAAAAAAGAGGCGACATAGGAGCTTCAAATTGATACCCTAGATGCCTCTACTAAAAATCTCAGATGAGTTTGAATGTCATTGACCTTGTTTTCTGAAATCCTTGTGAATGCAATTCTCTAGGAGGATTTTGAAACTGATACCACAGGTGTGCCTACTTGGAGGCCGAGGGGTAGCACTGCCTTTCGCCAGTATTTTCCTACTGGGATTAAGAAGTGGATTTTTTCATTTAAATAAGAGGAAATCTGGTGTAAGGAGCATCTTACAAAACTTAGCGCACCACTTAAAAATGACAAACCTAAATGCTGCAGTTTTACAGTTATCCATGCTCTTGTGATACTCATTATTCCAACATTTACCCAGTTGCACTCAGTTCAATATTCTGCAGCAAGGCTGCTCACTAAGACACTCGTATAGCTCTCATATCACGCCAGGTCTGATGTCGTTACACGGGCTTCTGATTAAATTTAGGATTCAATTTCAGTTCCTCCTCATCTATAAGGCCTTGAGTGGTCTGGCTTCAGAGTATATCAGTGAACTATTAATGCCATATATCCTTTTAGACCCCCTGAGGTCCTGTGAAGTGGGGGCTGATGATGGTAGCCAGTGCTAAACTGAGAACACAAGGAGGCTGTGCACCCCACTGCCGGTAAATGTTGCTAAGATGCGTTTATTTCTCGTAATATGTAAAATAAAACTTAGACACAAAGGGCTGAAAGATGTGACGGATGTGAAAGGTGTGATTTCTCAAACAAGATGCCGCAGATTTAGAAAGGAAGCTTGCACACATGTTGGAATATTTTTCCTGCATTGTTCTGCTCTGGTTCTGGTATAAAACATTAGCTTTCTCTGTTGGCAGAGAGAGCCCATATAAAGGCCCTACATCTTCATTTGGGGATCAGTGGAGTTTGGATGAAGATGACATACTTCCTGTTAGCTGGCTAATGTTGAATCGGCTCACACGGGAAATTTATGTAGGTGCATGGCCAGACGGTGTTGGTAATGAGGTGTTTATGATAGATATTGTATGTTGTGAAGTCAATTGGGCATCAGTTGTAGCAGACAGCAGATGCTCTGTGTCTTTTCTCTAATTTATCAAAGAAGTTACGATTACGTTACAACGTCAAATGCCAAACCGGTACGAGCTTTACCACTGAAGAAACCAGCCCTTATTTCAGCTCCAAGGGTAGATGCTGTGTGGTTCACTCTACCATAAGCAGACACACACTGTGCTGCATAATGGTGACACTCTAACTGTCAACTCAGACCTCAAGCAGCCCCGAAATATATCTTCAAAGTTTGTTTTTGGTTGAATTTGAATGGAGTTGGTGTGCATGAATAATTGCATCATCTTCAGGTGTTTCGTCGCAGAGTCAAATGATGGAAGACGGCAGTGGGAGTTTCATAAGCCGGTCTCAGTGTCAGCGCAAATGTAACTCGGTGTTCAGATGGAAAATTGATGGAAAACTCTCACGTTCAACTTTCACAGAGGAAATGAGAAGTGATATGGAAAATGTGTCGGTGTTGTTTCCAGACTTGTTTTGATCCAATGCGAGAGGCTTTAGGAAGACACCGTGTTGAGACCGAAACAATAAAAACCTCGTTGACTCCTTTTTAGCATTCGAGCAAATGTCAAAGCCACCTACTGTCGATTGATGTGCTCACCAGCAGCTGTGTTTTTATCTCCAGTTAATTTGACAGCGTGATTGTCCTGCTGTTGTTTTCCATTCACAACCGAATGGAAAATGAGTGATTTTCAGTGTTACACAAGAGATTTGTTATGTCACCTGATTGTCTAATAGACTGAAACTTGGGCTTTATTTAATAATAGACACAGAGTGATGGAATAATCTCCTAATTGACACTTATTGTAACACCACAACTGGCTAGTGATCCTGTTACCCAGTCCCCTTCCCTTCACATCGTTCACTTGAAGCTAGAATCAGTTTCAACTGATAGAGACAGAAGATGCTTACCTCCCCAGCCTCGTCTTTCATTGCGCATGACTTTGAAATTCAGCAGTAGCTGTTGATAGTAAAACCATTTGGTCTCAAGGACTGTGTGTCAGCTAAATGGGGCGTGTGGAGGTCAGTGCTTGCATCCTCTGCTTATTTCCCCTATGACCTTAAAAGGAAGCCTTGAGACATCTACCCCACCTGATGATATTTAAAAGTTGTCATTTCTACCTAATTTGGTAAAAAACGATCTAGTTTTTTGTTTTTATCTGTAGCTGAAGCAAAAGGATAGAGAAGAGGAAAATTCACACTGGGAAAGCTCAGATCCTTTTAAATGCAAAGTCTCAACTTGCTCAGTTTAAAATCAGAACGTGATACTTTGAACAAGAATGAAACAATTTAGTGGAAGCAGTTTATCCAATATATCGCTAAAAGGCAATAAAGAAAATTACAAATCACAAAAAATTAACATTTAAAGTCATAAAAAGCCTTTTGAATGTTTTAAACGTATCTCTCTGACAAACGTCTCAGTACATGAGCCCGCTGATCATTAACACCGAGAGATCTACTGCAGTAATTCAGCCAATTGCAAAGAGGCATGGTATTAGCATTTGGAAAATGTCTTGTTTTTATTATTGCCTGTGTTTTTAAGGAGTAAGAGTAGGAGAATTTCTTTAAATGAAGAGTAAAGGAGCAAGAAAATGTATAGTTTGGAGAAGGCCAGAGACAAATTTTCTAGATATGTCCTGCTTTAATTCAGCTGCTTTCTTGCAGAGAGTGCAGGAGGCAGGAAACATAATGGCCACTGGCTACCTGCGCTATTTTCTCATGGACGTAATGAGGCATTGCGTGAACTTTGTGTACGAGGCAGCTCACGGCGTAAAGACCATTTAATGCCGTGTGAATGAGTCAGACATTTGCTTTCTCACATGCAGCTCTGCCGAGTGATGTGGAGTATATGGATGCAGATTATCAGTCTTTGTTGCCGTTTGTCTTTATCGCCTATGAAGGAATGATTTTCACAAATAAATAAGTAAATAGCAGACATTCAAGCCCAGGTACGCTCTCTTGAACAAGCAGATATGGCTGTGCTATAAAAGGACCAGCCCGTACCCATAGTGTGTAGATGTGTGCCACAGCTCCAAATGTGCACACAGTATATAGGAGGGTATATCCTCTTTGGAGAGGACGCATGGATGTGTGGGTGGATAATTCCATGTGTCAAGTGTAATTCTGAGGGCGTCCACTTTAGATAAGGTTCCCATATGGCTAGATGTTCCTGTAGGTTCTACATTTGCCAGGCAGTCAGCTTTCTGAAGTGCTGAATACTTGTTGGGGGAAAAAAATCCTTGGTCAGGTTTTGTCTACGTTTGGATGTGAAGTGTGTGAGTAAATCTCGATGGTTCTTTCAGTGGCTGCATCTTCACGCTCGATGGAGCATCTGCCCAGTACACACACACAAACTGTGGATTTAAGCTCATTTAAGACAAAGGCACAAGGCTTAAAAGAAGCTTAAAACACTATGGCGGTTAAGCCCGTGCACACAGCACGGCCTTATTGGTTTTTTGAATGTTCAAAAAAAAAAAAAAAGACAAAACATGAGAGCATAAAGGCGTGTGTGCTGTGAGTACATGATGTATGTATGTTTAATAGAGGCAAGTCTGATGCTCCCAGGGCACAGCGCCGACCGTCAGCAACCGTTTCCCCTGTTTCCATAGCAACCGCTGTTCAATTACCTCTGCTGTGCTGCACTACTCTGGCTCTGTGTCGGTAAGATGGAGCCACTGTGCTGCATGCGTGCATGTGTGCATGCGTGCACGCTTGCGTTTGTGTGTGCGACAGCATCTATCAGAGACTGTCTTGTACAGCTGCCTGTCGTGCCTTCATCCAAACGTCTGTGCTGTGCGCCGCTCCTCTTCCTCCTCTTCTCCACAGGAGTGGGGAAAAAAACACCTTCATCTCTCTCTCTCTGCTCAGGCTCTTGGGAAAAAAAATCCCTCAGTGATGTAGCGGCTTGCAGCCACTCACAAAACCCCTCCTCCTCCTTCTCCCCATCTCTTATCCTTTCCTCCCTCCCTCTTCGTCCAAACTGCTCTCAGACAAACACACGCACACACTCTTATCATGTGATCCACTTGCTGCACCACGATTGGTGTCTCTGATCGTGGCGTGTGTCCAATCAGGGCATAAGCCCCGAGATCAACCTAAGTGAAGCAGAGCAGCCTGGCTGATGCTCTTAGAGTCACAGAGGGAGGGAGGAAGGCAAATACAGAGGCATGCAAAAATATAGTAGAATTGAGATGGGTAAAGTTTTATGAAGGGGAAGAAGGCAGGGTTTTTTATTTTTAAATTAAAGAGAACATGCTGAACCAGCGAGTGAAGCAGGAAAGCTGATTTAGTAGGATAAACAGATTCGAAAAGGCAAACCGGAGGTGGTACACAAGCTGTGTTGACAGACAAGTCTCCCCTTATTGTGGCTAACGCTAAAGCTAACTGTCCACAGTCAGCTTGACTGCTCTTCCGAGGAGCCATCTGCTCCCTCCGTCCGTCCTTCCGTCCATCCCTCTCTCGCTGAGCTCTAAAAACTCCCGTTTCCTGGCAAAAGCACGAGGATTCGTCAGCCACTGTGGAGAGTATCACACCACGCTTGGAACCATGGAGGTGACATGTAAGTACTAAGAATGGAAATGAGAATGAGAAAGAGAGGCTGGTTTGCAATTAGCCTGCACGG